AAAACACAGGGAACCGTCTGGGAACTAATTAGACCCGGGAGGCAGTTCCTGGGGCTTCAAAGCCAGCCCCTTGTAGCCGGACTGGAAGTGGGGGGTTGGGGGCCCTGGGACCACTCAGCTGTGCCAGGAGGACATTCATGCATCCCCTTGCCCGTTGCTGTGAGTCGGGGTGCCCAGGCCACGGGGACAGTCCCAAGGGGTAAGCCATGGGGTCCAGAGGAGAGAGATGGGTCAGAGCCGGCTGAGCTAGGCAGGCTCCCCACGGGCAGTGCTGGGCCTTGAGGGACGTGGCTTTCCTGGCAGAGGGGCTGACTGTGCAAAGGCAGGGGGACACGGCGGAGCACGTGTGCTCAGGGAAGCAGAGCCGGGGGACAGAGCGGACAGTGGCAGCAGGTGAGGCTGCAGCTGTCGGTGGGACCTAGACACCCAGATGCCTGAGGGCTCTGCTGAGAGATTGGTGTCTGGTCTGAAGGCTATGGTCACTATTATGGACAGAAGGGCCCACCTGGGGACCTCGTGGTCATCTACAGATGGCCCCACCATCCCCAGGTCATAGCTAACCACTGGACAGGGCCGTCTTCTGATGGACCAGGGCAATGGAAGAAGGGACAGGGACGGAGTTGGAGGAGTAGAACTGGGTCTCAGTGCTGGCTCTGTCGTTATGTGCTGGAAGGGCTAATGCATACAGTTAGGCAGGTTGTTCACTGCACAACTCCAGGGAGGTCAGCTGCACCTTGATCTTTGTCAGTAATGGTCCTGGGGTTGTGCAGTACACAACCGACGCAGCAGTACAAAGTGGCCTTGCAGGGTGTCTGCGCCTCGGTTTCCCCATCTGTTCCATGGCAGTCAAGACTGGGTGGGCACATAGTAAATAACTCCTGTGTCAGGGTCTGCACTGTCCCTCAGCTCTCCTGGAAGCCCTTCCATGCAGGAATGTTGGAGGTGAAGCCCGCTTCCCTCTCCCCTGCCTGGCTCTACCCTTCCCTCCCGGGAAGTGCTGCAGGACACCTGGCCTGATGGCTTTGCTCTGTGTCAAGTTCCTCCCCACTGAAACGTTCAAGGCCTGTGCATTACAGTTTATTTTTGAGAAAAAAAAAATGCTAACAGCTGAATCTGGTCGAGACTGTTGACTTCAGTACTTTGGCTCGAGCACAGGGTGGGGGCGGGGTTGTCCAAACCCCCAAATAAACAGTCTGCTTCCCAGCCAGCCGTGGGGCCCAAGGTTTTCATGTGGGAAGCAGCGGTGGGAAAGGCGTCCTCCCTTCCCACTGATTCACGGGGTGATTCATCTGCATGTAGGGAGGAGAACCAGGAACCAGGCCCCCGCCACCCCCACCCACCACTGTCAGCTTAAAGGGACAGGGCCTGGCAGGGCCCCTGTCACCAGCCAGCTGACTTGGGAGACCTGCAGGGATGCCCCAGGTCCCCGGGTCAGGGAGGGAGGGCTCAGGCTCTGAGGTCCACAGGACCTGGGGCCAGTGTCAGGCCCGTTTCCCCGCAAACCATCTTTGCTTCCAGGCTGTTTCCTGGGACGGAAAATGGGCCGCGATGCTGCTCTTGGGAGGCTACTCCTACAAGACTTGGTTGATAGGCTGACTGTGTTCCTTGTATTGGCGTTTGCAAACCTACTGTGTGTTGGGTCAGACGGAGTCAAGCCCAGCATCCTTGTCCTACGTCCCTTCCTTCTGAAGTGTTTTCAGAGGCTTCCCTGGGCCTCGCCTGTGCTGGTTACCTCCGGAAGGAACTGGTGCCTGGTAGGAGGGGAGAACAAGTTAGCTTGTCCTTGGAGCCTGTCGCCAAGCAGCCCAGGGCCCCGCCCACCAGAGGGCGGGGCGCCACAGTGCCCCACCTTCGCTAGTTCCTGCCCCCAGCCCTCCACCAGTCCTTGCTCTCCCCTTTGTCCATTTTTTTCAGATATATCTGCATATATTTGCCTATGGTATAAAATTTGGAAAGTCCATGAAAGACAAAATCACTTGTAACTCTCCCCCTGTACCCGAATATCCACTGTGAAGTATTTTGATGTGTTTCCTGCCAGCCTTTTACTTACAAAGATTTTACAGAAGGGTTTTTTTTTTTTAATCATCACATATAAAATTGTGTGTCGCCTATTTTAAGTGATCTCTGGAGACCACACTGGAAGAAAAGCATTCAGGTGGAAGCCACCATCCCACCCAGATGTCCGGGTCCTGGGTCAGTATCCGCCGCCTCAGCATCACGGGGCTTCCTGGGCCCACAGGACCTGGGCCAGGCCAGCGGGGGGCTGGACAGACGTGCCTAATGGGTGCCGGAGCCTCTGAGATCCAGGATCAGGTCATGTGGAAACATGGCCTTTTCTAACCACGTATTTCATCCTCTTGTTCATTTCGGGCCCATTTGGAGTCAGCCACCTCCATCTGTAGCTACCTTTGTGCGTGATGCTGTGTCTCTGCATGTGCTGTTCCCCTGTCCAGTGCACTGTTCCAGGCCTGGGTCAGCGGCACCCCTGAGCTTTCCTCTGTCCCATCACTGGTCACATTGTGCTGTGCCTGGCTGGTCACAGGCCTGTGCCAGCACGGGGTGCACACACAGAAGACACTTAACACATGTGGGTTGAATGCACTGCACATGAGAGCAAGAGCTATGGATGAAGCATTGTGCTGGGAGCCCTGAGCACGGAGAGACTCCTTCTGACTGGGAGATACCTGCTGGAGGGCTGCCTGGAGGAGGTGGGATTTGCGCTGTGCCCAGGACAAGCTGGAGCATTTTGGTAGGGAGAAGTGGGGAGCAGTCCATTTAGGTGGAGGGGAATGGTAGGTGATAGAGCAGAGACTTGGGGGGCAGGTGTCAATGGCCTGAAAAGTTACACATCAGGGAGGGGTGACACCTGGCCTCTCCCACCTGGAGCTGCCCACCCCAGCACAGCATGGTGGGCAGGAGCCTCATATACATGGGAGAGCTGCAGACCCTGCCAGACCCCCCGCCCGCCCTGAGTTTGGCATCCTCCTGGGCTGAGCTGTGGGGATTGTCTGGGGGGAGTGTCTTGTCGGAGGCAGAACCTGGAGGGGGAGAGTTCTGTGGTTGGTTCCCTTCCATCTGCCTGGAGGCTGGAGCATGAATACAGGTTCCCAGGGCCTTGGCGGGGTGGACAAAGCCCGGCTGTCTGTCACACAGCTTCGCTTCCAGAGTTTCCAGGAGGACAAACGATCCCGCATGGGAATAAACACGCCGCATGCCTGTGTGTGCTAAGAGCACGGAGCCCTGGCCCAGAGCGAGCGCTGCACCAGGGCTGGCGGTTAGCATGACCTCTGAACCTTAGGCCCAACCCCACCGAGGGGCTTTGCTTCCAGGAAGAGGGCTCCTAGGCACGGTAGCCCCTGGCTGCCCACTTTTTGGTCATCAAGCAGCTGGGCAGTGGCCGGCAGTGGGCCACCCATGGACAGACGGCCTTTGATTCAGGTTGACCAAAGCAAGCTAGGCTCTCCGCCAGCGCCCACAGGCTGCTTGAGAGGTAGACATCGAAGGATCAGCGGGGCGGGCCCTCCTTGCCACCCCGACCACAGAGCCTAAGGCCAGTTGTCCTCTGGGCTCAGACTTAATGGACAGTCGGGGCTTTGCGGGGCCCTGGGGAGCGGTAGGGGCCAGGATTATCGTCCAGCTAGATGTGCATCTTCGGGCAAGAGGGTTACTCTCTCTGAGCCTGAATTTCCTCACTTTGAAGATGAAGGCAATGACCCGTGCCCTGCCTACCGCCCGGGATGTTTGGGGAGATCAGTGGGACGTGGGTAGGGACTGCGTTTGCCATGCCCATGGCACGGCTGTGGGCCCATGCCTGCTCCTGTGACTACACCCAACACGTTAGATCCCCTCGCCTTGGACGACCAGGGAACCAGATTTTCTCCAGATCCCTAAGCTCGGTCACTTCCCAGGGCTCATCGAGAGAAACAGCAGCTCAAAACGGGACTTCACAGGCGGCGCCCGCTTTGCTCACCCACATCAGGGTGGCAGAGTGGGCGGCGGGCTCCCCGGGCAGGGAGCTTCACATTCGCAAGTCACCCAGTTCCTATAGGTGGTGGGGGGAAGGCGGCGGGCAAGAAGCAGGGATCTTCAGTCTCATTTTCAGATGAGGCGCCAAGGCCCAGAGAGGGTAAGTGATTTGCCTGAAGCCATACAGCTGGAAAGTGGCAGCACCCAGCCAAGCCCGGAGCTCGAAGCCCGGTGCCCATTCCAGACCCTGCGAGCTACTGACAAGCAGGGCTGGGCAGCATGGGTGCCAGATAGCACCAGTCTCTGGCAGGGACCTGGGAGATCTCGGCACATGCCTGAGCAGGGGCACCAAGTGTGTGAGCCTCACGCCACCAACATGCCTCCAGCCTGTGGTCCCAGCAGACGGCAGCCCCGTTGCTGACGGCAGCAGAAACCTGAGACAGGGAAGGTTCCAGAGAAGTTTGTGAGCCGCCTGGCGAGTCAGGCTGGGGCAAGGCCAAGCTAGATGCCGACGGGGACCTGGCATGGCCCAGGAGGGGGCCACACTGTGGCGGGCGGGGGCAGCTCAGGAGGGACGGCCCAGGGGCTCTCATACTCTTGTCCAGCCACTGCACTAGCCCAATGCCTGGACAGACACGCAGAGCTGGCAAGGGGAGGGGACGGTGTCCTTGTGTCAGGGCATTGCCGTACGTGAGAGAAAGGACAAGGGCCCAGGGGGACTGGCCCGGATCCAGCCTGAGAGCCATGTCACTGCCGTGCAGCCCAAAGCAAGTGTCCTAACTTCTCTGAACCTCCTGGCCTGCTTGGCAGGGTCCGGTGAGGTGAGGTGATGTGAGGAAGCTCCGCATTAACCATCCTTGCAGTGCGCGAGCCCTGGCCCCAGATGCTTTCACGTCCCTGTGCTGCTCAGTGTCCCCGAGGGGCGCTGCACCTGGTCGGGGGTCTTGGGTGGCGCGTCCTCCTTCCTCGCCCTGGGCGGGTTCTGGGCGGCGTCGGGGTCTCGCTAATGCACTGGGTTCTCCCTGCCAGTGCAGGTCTCCACCAGCTGACCAGCCCGCGGTACAAGTTCAACTTCATCGCCGACGTGGTGGAGAAGATCGCGCCGGCTGTGGTCCACATAGAGCTCTTCCTGAGGTGTGTGAGACCCTCCCTCAGCCCCCCAGACGCCCCCCCTGCCTGCTGGGGCCCAGACCAGACCTGATTCTAGCCCTGGGGGCAGTAGAAACCAGAGCGGGCTTGGCGTCAGGCGGACCTCTCGCAGGCTCCCGGCCGCTGTGTGCCCTTGGGAAGGATGCCCCCTCTCTCACGCTAATGGCCTCGCCTGGGGAAACGGAAAACAGCCTCGCACCCCCACAGCTGTAGGTGGTAAGCAGGTGTGCAGTGGGTGGTAGCTGTGGTCATTCATTCACTCAGTCATTCAACCAACTCATTGAGCGGCGAGTATGTGTTTATGTCCCAGAGCGCCACGTAGTAAAGCATGGACAGATAAATAACCGTGACTCCTGGCCCCAGCACAGGGCCCCCTGCTCAATGGCTGTCAAGCATGCCCAGCGGGGACGCTTGTCACGGGGTGTCACTGTCCCCCATCTCTGGAGGACAGGGACGGCTCACCACCAGCGCGGCTCCATGGGTGAGGGGAGTGGCACGACCCAGCACCATCAGAATAGTGACACCCTGGGGCGCCTCCTGTGCCCTGTGCCATGGTGGCTGTTTATCTACTTTCCTCAAACAGCCCTGGTGCCAGCCCGCCTCGCGGAGCCAGTGCCCGTGGGACTCACCCCTGAGAGCCAGGCCCAGGCCACCGCCCAACTCTGTCTGACAGCACGTGTGCACCCCGCACCCCAAGGCCTTTCCCCTCTCTTGCCCACAGCATCTTCCTGTGACCCCCAGAAGGCAGGGTGTCACATCCCCATTTCCTGGATGTGGAAGCAGCGGCCTGGGTGCCTCCCCAGGCTCACAGAGCTGCTACGTGCCGAGGCAGGGTGCGACCCCGGGTCTCTCGGACCCCACAGCTGAGTCCATCCCTCTGCAGTGTGCTGACCCCTCACTGCCCTTTCTGGGGCCCCACACCCGGGGCCATGTCATTGAGGAGATTACCACTGGACATCCTAAGTGGCACTTGTGCTAAGTCCTGGCCTTGCCAGTGGCTCGGGTGGGGGCAGCGTCCCTCCAGGAGGCCCCGGGCACCAGGCCCAGAGCCTCCTAATGGCCGACGGCAGCCCAGCCCGGGCAGGTGGTGATGTGTTCTCATTGTCAGCCTCGGAGGTTGATGTCAGGGGTGGGTGGCCGAGGCCCAGGCGGATGAGATCCCAGACACGTCGAGCAGGGCTCTGCTGTGACCCCTCACTCAGGCAAGGAGGCCCCAGGCGGTCTCGGGCCCTTCCACAGACGAGCGCCAAACCCTATACGTGTCAGGCTGAGCAGGTACCGTGGGCAGGCACTTCCTGAGGCACTTAGGTGTAGCCCCTGCCCAGGGCCCACACACAGCTAGGTGGACACACGCTATGGTCACTCTAAGGGAGGCCGAGTGGCCAGGATGCCTGGTTCAAACCCCTGCTCTGCCCTGTGCCTGCCTGACCCAGGCAAGTGGTTCATGTCTCTGGGACTCGGTTTCCCCACCTGTGAACTGGACACCTGTCTACCTTGTAGGGTACCTACCATGAGCATTAAGTGACTTTGTCCCTGGCTCATTAGGAGGGCTTGGTGACATTAGCTGTTGTCACCGGTTCTGTCCAGCCCAGAGACTCACTTCCCTGAGAAATTCCCATCATTGCTGTTTCTTCTCTTGCACGGCGATGGGCCCCTGAAGGCAGCCATTCGGGGCTTCCAGGCAGCCGGCCGGAGTGAAGGGGCCGGAGGGAGGTGAGAGTACATCCCCACCCAGTGCTTACCCTCCGTCTGCACAGAGATCTGGGACACTCACATCCCCTGGTAACTGCTTGTGACAGTCCCCGCAGGTGCTGTAGGCACATGAGTACATTTTCCCTCCTGCCGCTAACAGCCCTGTTTGTTGAGCGACTTCCTGCCTCCAGGTGCTTTAGGCACCAAGCATGTTGTTGTCCCATTTCCTGGATGGGCAGACCGAGTCTCAGAGAAGTCAAACCACCTGCCCACAGTCAGGCAGATAATAAGTGGGGACTGGACTTGAGATTAGAATCCTGGTCTGCCTGGCTCCAGTGCTGTTGTCAGAGCGGCGAGTGTCTGCTGTGTTATCACAGATCTAGTATTTATGGCCTCGTGTCTCATCCGGCAAATTGCAAGTCAGAGATTATCGCCCCCTCTTTATAGCCGTGAGATGGGTCAGACTTCTTGACCGACCTGGCCAAGGCCACGGCCAGTAAGTGGAAAAGCTAGGATTTGAACTTGGGCTTAGGGGACTCCAAACCCGTGTTCCTTCCCCTGACGCTAGCTCAGCCGTCACTGTGGCTGACCCCCGTGTCCCAGTCCCCGACCCCCTGAACACCCCGTGCCGCTCCCCGCAGACACCCGCTGTTTGGCCGCAACGTGCCCCTCTCCAGCGGCTCGGGCTTCATCATGTCAGAGGCCGGCCTGATCGTCACCAACGCCCACGTGGTGTCCAGCACCAAAGCCCTCTCAGGCCGACAGCAGCTCAAGGTGCAGTTGCAGAATGGTGACACCTACGAGGCCACCATCAAGGACATCGACAAGAAGTCGGACATCGCCACCATTAAGATCCATCCCAAAGTGAGTGGGTGGCAGGGGCAGTGGGGTGGGGGTGGGGGGACCTCCCCAGACTCCGGAGCTTACAGGCGCCCCAACCCAACTTTCCCATGGACATCTGGAGGACCTGAGGCCCAGGGGACCAGCCATTTGTCAGTCATGGATCAACTTAGATGAGAACCAAGGTCTCCGACACCTGCCCTGTGCTTTCCTGAGCCGCCAGGGCAGAGAGAGGCTGCCGCCCGCTGGCCCAGAGCTGTGCTGCCCACAGCCACAGCCACACACAGGTCCTCCAAGGCCAGGGGCACGTCCATTGTCCCTCCTGGGCCCACTCCAGGGAGGCAGCTGTCTGGTGGGGCGATGGAGGCCGGTGGGGAACACTTGGGACAGACGTCCTGTCCTTCTACCCACACATTGGTCCCCAGCTGCTATGAAAAAG